CTCCCCAGCCCAGCTCTGTGCACCCCCAGTGCGGTGAATTGGCTCCCTCTCCCCTGCCCCCGTGACCCCAGGACTTTCTCCCCCACCCCAGCTCTCCAGGTACAGCTTAGTGGGTGGTAGGAGGGGGCCCCCATCTGAATGGCAGAGTCAGGTCCAGATGGAAGCTTCGGGTGCCTGACTCATTCCGGCTCAGGCCGGTAATAACAAGCCCCATGTTTTTCTCCAGCGTCCACTGCTCTGACACACAGAATAGTCAGGAAATAAAAGATTTGAGTACTATACAGCTGCTTTGCTTTCTCTAAAAAGGGGGGGGGGGAAGTCGGGGGTTGGGGGGAGAAAGGAGCAAGGAGGCAGGAGTCCAGGCCAGCAAATAACGAAGCGGCACAAACAAGGTTGCTGCTGGCGTGTTACATAAACAGCCCCACCACCCCGCGCTGCAGCCCGAGGAAAAAGTGGTGCTTTAGTGACACTTGGGTTGGTTTCACACCTGAGCTTGGAGTTACTCAGAGGTGCATTAACAACTAATGATTCAATTGAGGGAGGCCTGGATTTGCCATTTTGACTTGCCAGATATTAGCATACCCTTCTAGAAACCCGGAAGCCTGCCAATTGAGCTCCCCAGTGAAACTGAGAAGGGGCCTTTCCAAGATGCACGATATTTAGGAAAAGGAAATTAAGCTAATTTTGAAATGTTTCCTTAAAATCGAAGTAGTTGAAGGCTGGGATGAATATTATGAATTCCTCACATGATACGAGTTTGAATAATATGTCATGGATTCCAAAGGCACAGCTGAAAAGTACTCAGGGCCCTGGGTTCCTTTTCGTTCTTTTTCCTTTTTTTTTCCTTTTTTTTCCCCCTTAAACATTACTGCATTGCTCACCTGAAATGTCCTTTTTAGAAAGTTCTCTGATAGCTAACAGGACAGAGTGACGTTTTCACAAAATGAGATGAGATGCCATTGCCAGAGAGAGCCCTGGGCACTGCAGTGGCCGTGACGGGAGCGTCACCCAGGGGCTCGGTAGCACTCGGCGGGGAGGAGGAGGGCATTTCATTATGCGTCTAAGTTATAGCTTCATTTCAAACACAAACACGCAGGCTGGCGAGGATATTAAATATGCAGTCACGCTTTCCCTCCGAGCGAGGAAGGCGCTTGGATTTTATCTTCCCAGATCCAGAACCTGTTTACTTCCTTCCAAGCAGCTTCCTCCTGCCCTTTAGATAAGTCAACGGGGAGACTCGACCTCCAAATGTGGCTAAATTGCGACCCCTGACAATGTCTGGTAATTAGGGAGCCGGGCGTGGATGGAGCTGAGGGCTGCGGCAGCCGGGAGGATAGCCCTGCAGCACCTAGGCTGCTGCCGCAGAGGGGCCAGCTCCAAAAACATCGATTTCTCTCCCCACCCTCCCAAGGTTAGGATTCTGCTTAGAACTCTCTGCTTCCTGCTAAAATTTCCATCACCAAAGGGCCTGATTTCAGGCAGAGAAAGGACCACTTTAGCAAATGAGAGGAGAGGAAAGCAGAGGGTCATTTCAGCTGCGGCAAAAATCAGCCATGCCATTTTCCCTGACAGCACTTTAATTATGATGAAAGAACAAGATGGTTTTTGGTTTTTTACCGAGGAGGCTTGTGGTGGGGGGAAGGGGGAGGGGGCTCTGAAAGAGATGCGAGTGGAGTGCAAAGCGGGCTGTCACCGCGGGCTGATGTATACACTGAAGGAGGGAGGGAAGCGCCCCCCGCACGGTCCTGGGTCCCGGCCCCCGTGGCGCCGGTCAGGCCCGCTGTTTGCAGGCAGGGGTGAGCCGGGCATAGGAAGGGCCGGTAGGGCAGAACTTAGCCAGCTGCTGGGTGCCGGCTTCCTCCTTCCCCTCTGTGGGGTGAGCTGTGACTTTAACCCCGAGCCTTGGAGGGCGGGGTGGGGGGGGGTCTAGCTTGTGTTCTGCTCCATCGGCTTTGAAAGCAGCCGAGGGGTTTTCAGTGGCCGTACGTCTCATTCTTGAAAATGGTGGGTTGTTTTTTTATTGTTTTTTTTGTTGTTGTTAAGTCAGGTGCTTGGTTCAAATGGCCATTCTAGGGCCTTGGAGCTGCAGAGGAGGCCAGAGAGAGCCCTGCAGGCCTGGGGCTGCTGTTCTGAGGGCAGAGGCGGCGTTTTAGCGATGGGAAAAGAGGTGGAAAGCAGATGTTAATCAGTTTCTTTCAGCTCAAGCAAGAATCAGGGAAAGGGCCCATTTCCCCTTCCACCCACCCTGCGTTGACCTTAGACATTGAGCCCTCAGGATCCCCCACCCACCCCCGCCCCCAACTGGGTTGCTAACAGCCCCTGAAGGTGGCCCTGGGATTGGTGCTGGCAGTGTCTCTCAGCTGAAAAGAGCCTTAGCTCCTGGGCTTGGGAATGTGAGGAAGATAGCACCCACATGCATCCACATTGCCCGCGGGTCCCCGGGGATGGAGGGAGCAGAGGGGGGGGGGGCAAAAAGGCATAGAAGGTGCATTATTTCAGCCCCCTCCTCCGTTTTAGGACCCTTTCATGCCTTGCAAACACCAAGTGCAGGCTGCTGGAGAGCCTCTAGGACAGAACTACACAGAACAGGAGAGATGATCTGACCCTGCTCACCTCCGCTGCTCTTGTGTAACTAAATTACCCGATGTCTCTGTTAAAAGTGATGTCGCCCAGAGAGAGCACCCCGCAGCCTTGCGATAAACACCGAGGGGCCTTATTCCCCTCTCCCCAGGGAGGCTCTCTATGTGGCAAGTTCTCCCAAACAATCCATGATTTTCCCGGGATCCCTTATGCCCCTGACTGAATCATCGTGCTGCTGGAGACCCTTCTGATTTTGATGATTATTACCGGGCAGAGGATAATGAAACAGCAGGGACTTAGGGCTTTGTGTGGTAGGTGAATGATGGACATTTCCGAGTAAAGCCACTTTATTTCTTGCACGTACCAAGAGGACTCACAAGCCAAATGCAGCATCTGCGAGATCTTATGGGAGGGGGTGGGGGTCTTGGGCTGCTGAGGCGGTACTGCAGGGATACAGAGATGCCTCCTTTTTCTAGAACAACTGCAGTGTCCCCATCTGAGCCCAGCCAAAAGGCAAATTCTTTATCTGGACGCACGGTGATTCTGCCTGCTGCATAGACGGAGGAACCGTGATCCTGCTGATTTCAATGGACCGGTTGAGGAGAAAACATGAGGAAAAAAAAATCTTTATTTTTCTCAGTTTTCCCTTTTCTGCTTGGAAAACAATTTTAGGATCCGGCAGTTCAGTCTGCAAGGAGGAAGGGGCAGCATCCCAACTTACGACCGTTGGGGTGTTTAGATATTTTAGAGGGATTTTAGTTTGGAGGGAAAAAAACGCAAAAAAAGACAAATAAGACAAAAAAGCTTGCTGAGTTGGGGGTGAGGGGGGTATCAAAGCAGCCCACGTTAGGAGGCTGTACCTTTTCAATGTCGGAATAAGGGAAGTGTGGGAGGATTCTGATCCACTCTTAGAAATAAATAGGCACTTTGGAAAAGGAAAATATCCCGTTCTTTGAGAAACAGGGTGAGGTGATCGGTTAATGTCGGGTGGTGGGGATCATAATCCTGTTTGAAGAATTGGTCTCATTTTTCATGTCAGAATGAATATTGGTGGAGATTAGATGGCTTCTTAATTTAGACCATTTACATCTTATAGAGTGCTAAAAAAGAGGGCTCCGAGCCACTTTCCGGCAGCAGTGAAGCCAAATAAATAGGAACGATATAACCTTTTTAAAAATCCATTCTCTCTGCCGTCTCTTCACTGGCGAATTTTGAGTCATTTAGCACAACCTGAAAACTCAGATTTTTGTTGCTAGAAAAAGTAATGCTTCCTACTGTAGTATGGTTTTTGTTTGTTTGGTTTTTGTTTTGTTTTGTTTTTTGTCGCCCACAATTTCCTATTCTGCTGATCTTTTTGACTTGAGTTTTTGTCTTCTTGACACCAAAGCATCCAATCAATTTGGTCGAAAGTTCAATCGTGGAAAAGCAACTGGTTGTTTTGTCCACAGACAGCCGGTTTGTCAAATATTTGAGAAACAGCTTATCTGACCACCTACCCTGACATCCCCCCAACCCAATGCTGCAGGGAAACTTATTTTTAGGAATTGGAGGGAACAGACCTTAGAAGCCGTTCCTCTGCTCTCTGAGGAATGAGGAAGTAGAGGGGACACGAATAAGATGTCATAGACCCTCTCGCTTTCTCTGCAGTGGCCATCTGAAGTCTGCAGTAGAGGGGAGGGGGGGACCCCAGTCTTCACAGGCAGGCGTGCAGAGGGGGGGAGTCTTTATGACTAGGCTCTTGGCAACATCACGGTCAGGGTCAAGATTTGTCTGGTGCCTGAGGCCATCTTAGGATGTGGTGAAGGCTGAGACCACCTGCCCTCATTTTGTTTTAGGGTACCACCAGTCCAGTGCAGCCAGTGAACAAATAAGGATGACAAGTGTTGCTTTTATAGAAAAAGAAAAAAAAAAAGCGTCATGATTCAGTTTCTTGAAAAAGCCGCCCCCCATCCTTTTATCTCAAAGTCACCATAACTAGGACTCCATCATCAATCTTTTTCTTTCTTTCTCACGTGGATAGCTAATTGAGGCTCTCTGGGCTACAGGGTTTTTTCCTGCTCTTTCAAGGCACTCAGTAGCCAGGCAGGTGGGGGAGGAAGGGGATGCTAGGAGGGGCAGAGGAAGGGGCAAGGGCTCCTTGGCACACCCCCTCCTGTACTTCAGTCTTGTGCAGAGCATTCCTATTTGCAGACAGCTCAGCCCAAAGCAGAGCGTTGCTATTACCCCCAGATGCTGTTTCTAATCGATCTGCTTTATTTTCCCTCTGGGGTGCAGGCAGGGCGGAGCCCAGATGTGCTCAGACCTCCAAAGCCACCCAGCCTTGATCCTTTATTTTTATGTTACAGTCACAGAACCTTGCAAATATGTTTTCAGCAGTTTAACCGCGTACCGAGAATTTCAGGGGAAAAAAGGTCAAGAAGTGATGATGACTTACATTTCTTAGGGGCCCCATCAAGCAGACCTCTGAATTCTAACAAAGACAAATCAGTGTCATGTTTCTAAAAGGAAAAGAGTGACAGCTGGCTGATTTCACAGAATTATCAGGTGTTGGGGGGAAGGTAAAGCCAAGGTTCAGTTACTATAAAGTAGAGTGATTTTTTGGGTTTGTTCCCCTGGGGTTTTCATGCTGCTGGTACCTGTTTTGGTGTGTTTGTAGTTTTGCTGAAATACACATATATTTTTCTCTCAATATCTTTTCTACTTTGGCATCCATTTTAGAAACTACATTTTTGTTGTAGAGTTCTATTCTTTAGTTTTCTTCTTTCTTCTTCTTTTTTTTTTTTTTTCCACAAAGTTGCCCTGTCTGCCTTCTGTACGCTCAGTAAATCTAGAGGATATGTAGTTATGCCAGGTTGAGGAATACACATCTATTTAACACATTTAATAATGTGCAAAGCAAATGAAATATAAAGTTATTTTATATCTAAGATTAAAACATTGTGTCCTTGGGGATCACCCTAGTTAGCCCACAGTTTTTCCCCCCATTTTGCATTCAACTGACTCATGGCAGATTACTGAAATGATGTATTTAGACTAATTACTGATTTAACTAATAGAAAACCGTTTAAGAAATTCACTTTTAAGGCTGGGAATGACTTTAAGTTCCCCTGCTCTAGGGGGCCCCCCTGAGGCCCGGGTTAATAATAACATCATGATAGGATGGGGCCAGTTAGGTTTCTCTAGACATCAGGATGCTTTGAATGGTTATGAATGCATGGAATATCCATTTAACTTGCAGATTAGATGTCTTTGGGTCCCAACTAAGTTTTATATCAACTTCCTTTGAAAGATTCTTTCACAGCTAGGCTTTTTGAAGCGGAGAGTACAATTATGAAAATATCCTGGTACTCAGAAGGCAGAGATTTGTCTTTTCAGGATAAGGAAGCAAAAAACCTAATGCTGCTTTAAGCTGGTTGATGCCTTCAACCATCACAGTGAGAAGCACCCTTATTGGAACCAGTCCCCAAAGTGGGAGATTTGTCCACTTTTGGAGGTGGTTCTCTGTCCGTCAGCCATCTGGCATCATCTTGCTGGAGGATGGGGACCCAGGGCCTTTGTGTGGCTGGTGAGATGGACCAACGAAAGCTTTTTCATCTAGGCTCCTTTTCGGCTCAGCAGAGCTTTCTTTCTGCCCTCTGCAGACCAGGACACCCCGTAGGCATTTTGCTCAGGCCGGACTTTGACATTCCAGAGTCGTCCTCTTACCAGCATGCTGACTTCATACCGGAGCTCCCAAGGTTTGGGCTGGAGCCTCACGGGCCCTCCTCCACTGTTGCCAAGTTCCCTCGAAAGTTGGCTACCTTCGTGACTGCTGATTTCTAACCGCAGGTCAGATTAAAGGACTCAGTGAAACGTTTGCCCTGTGGCCCCTGCCCTCAGGGTGTTCATGTCTTGTATACGTGAAGGGCTAGTTTTCTAGAGTTTTCATTTCTTGGCGTTAGGTCACTGCAACCCTGGGATAAAAATAGGTGTAATTAGTATGTTACAGATTAGACTCTGTATTTCTAGCTTTGTGCCACTTCCTCTAATAATACCAATTTTGGTGACACATTTCCTAGAATCCTGGGCTTGCTTCGTTTGCTAAAATCCTTCAAGAGCCAATTATAGGACAGATCTGTTTGCTTTAAAACCTAGAAGGGTCTGATCTTGATCAGACCTCTCGGCTCCCACTGAGGTCTGTCTTGATTTTCTTGTTTTCTATTCAGGGAGCAGGGCCTCCATCCCCCTCAAAGGCTGGCATTTTTGTTGACGGCTGAGCACACATGGTCTTCCGTGGCAAAAGGCCCTTTCCTGGCTGGCTCCAGAGTCCCCACCAATTAATCGGGGGGGTGGGGTGAGCGGGGGGGTGACTTGAGTTAGGCATCGCTTCAGCCAAGCTGGGCATACATCGAGCACACCTGTCACTTGTGCCCGTGTCCAAAATTCAGCCCTAAGGGTCACAGCTGTGGCATTATTTCAGCATGAGCAATTCAGTATTTAATGTTCCTTAGAAAAATAAATCATTCCAAGCTGCTACTGTTCACCTATTAACCCTTAGAGGATTTCATAGAGGGAGGGCGGGGGTGTCATCCATAGTTTTCTTGGCCAGTAACAGACACTTCCCAGTTCTCCTTTTAAAAGACCATTTCTTATATAATGGCGAACAGGAGCTGCAGAAACAGCATCCTCTCATTCTCTGGCAGCCACAGCCTCCCAGAGTGAGAAGTTAGACTTTCTTTTCCTTTCATTTATATTTTTACCTGCGTAATACATAGCTTTCTACACATTGGCATTCCATCCCTTTCCTTTTTCATGGTAAGCTTATATTAGTCTGCCATCATTGACAAATATTGTCTTTTCTTTTTTTAAGTTTTGGCCACACCGAACAGCATGTGGGATCTTAGTTCCCCAACCAGGGATCGAACCCTCGCCCCCTGCAGTGGAAGCGCGGAGCCCTAACCACCGGGCCACCAGGGAAATCCCTGTGGCAAGTCTTAATTTACAATGAAGTGCTGGTGGGTGGGATGGGGAAAGTTGATCATTAACCAGATTTGGGATTTGATGTAAATGGCCCCCCCGAGCAACACACACGTTAGACGTATCCTCCCTTCTGTTACCTGGGTCTTCGTAGCTGTCCATCTGCAGTTCATCCACATAGTACAAATCGTTTGAAAGCTGAGTTGTCTGCCTTCTGAAAGAAATTGGCTATATTTAGTTTTTAAAGCAAGCCTTGCTTTGTGTTCTTTGTAAAGTCAGCGACATTCTTTCAATTTTTTCAGTGTAATTAGCACAAAAGGAGCCGTAATCTGAGAAGGTAGTAGAGACTTAAGCGACTGAGAGACAGGAATGTTGGAGAAAGCGGGCAGAGGCCTCTTTCCCCTTTCTGGGCGGCGGGCAGAGACCCCGGGACGTGGGTGTGGGTAAAGCTGAGGTCTGTAGCTCATAAAAACATCTCCTTTTCATCTGATCCCCAGACTGATTGCAAACGCCTGATGCTTTGGCTGGATAGTCTTCTCCTCCTCCTAACTTCCAGAGGTCGGCAAAGACCTTAGGAAGCCACAGTGCCCTCTGGGCTCCGCTGAGTCGAGTGGGCTCCTGACTTGTCGGGGAGGGGGCCATGCGGGCTGCCAAGCCCTCCATAAAGTGCTGAGTGAGGGAGGGAGTGGCGGGCACAGCCTCTGGCTGGGACTTACGTGTAGCCACGTGCAAAGGAGGAGGCTGCCCTTCATCCTCTGGGAGCCAAGCATTTGTGCCCCCTCAAAATAAAGACCCGGGGAAAGAGGAGGAGCTAAACTATAATTACACGTTTTTCCATTTCAACGTGTGTGGGTAAACACAGATGAAAAGGTACCTACATTTTTAGATAAATTAAACGTGTGACTAATTATGTCCCATTAATTGCTTAATTCCGGGTTTACCAACAGCAGGCGGAAGTGGGTTTAGAGAGGAGGGTTCAGCTACGAGGGCAGGTGACACCTACAGCCCTGTCAGAATCTCACTTGTCCCAAACTGTAACTAAGTGCAAGCCTGTTTGAAAATGGCCACCCATGCTTGGCTGGTAGGTAAATAAAGTAAAACCCCAAGATGTAAAAGTTGTATTTAGCAGTTGTTTCCTACGTATATATGTATACACAAAGCAGCATTTAATGAAAGGAAATGTATTACCTGATTCATCCAGAGTGTTTAACGCTCTGAACTCTTAATCGTATGGGGCTAAGTTTGAAGAATTGAATGCAATGAAAAGAAAAGGAAAAAAAACAGGAAAATCTTTAAAATCAGAGCAATTAAAGAGCTTCTTTTATCTACAGAGATCTTCTTAGGACTTTGAGACTCTCTTGATCGCGCCAACTTGCTTTTTGTTTTATTTTTTCCTGTTGGTACTTGTTAAGTAAGATGTTGGATCAAAATGTCATTTAAATAAGGCATCTTGTAAATAAAAACAAAAGTTAGCTGACCTGCACCTGTTTTTAACTAGTCCTCCCTGCATTATTCCCCATCCTGGATGAGTTCCCATCCTCAAGGCCAAATTAAAAGTTCTAAGCAACAGGCTTTCCCATCACCTTAGTCCTCGTGAAATCCCGCCCCCAAGGGAGGCTAAAGGTATCTTAGTTTAGGAAAATTAACTTTCCTGCTATAGAGTGGTAACAAATTTACATCTTTTTGTCCCCGCCCCAAGATCTCCAGTAAGCGGGTCCATCGGTCTGCGGTTGATGTCAGTAAGCCCCTAATCCAAGTTATCCATCTAGAATCTTTTCAGGGCTACCATATGTATCATATTATTTAGGTTTAAGTTTTTAAAAGGAACATTGTAATGCACGTCGTCTCTACTTTATTGTTTCCCCCTTTTAAAGTAGATGGTATCTTTGGTAAAAGTCCACTCCCACTCACTCTGGGGCTCCTGGGGATGTTGTGAGAAGGGCACTAATCGTCCTGGGAACTGGGCATCCATGGAGACCAGGAAGTTTCTCTCTTCGATGGTGTCCACACATCAAAGTCAAGGAAGATCCATAAAGGCACAGAAGTCCCAACTGCCCTCGTTTTGTGAACTGTGGTTTTAAGTAGACGTTTGATTGGTATCTCAAAGCCATTGGGTCCAAACACATTGGCCAATGTGCCCCTATATTTTGTTTGGATTCGAGTATGTTCTAAATTAAAAACAAATTATTTTTAAAATTAGTTGATAGAAATTAAATCGGGAGATTTCATATGGCCTTGTAGTTAGTTAGTCCCTTAATGTCAGGGCTTTTGAAATGAAGTTTTACTAACTTAAGCACCATGTTTAGTTCTGAATGCCAGTTTTGGATCACTTTGTGGTTGCCATTATTAACTAGTGAAATGACAAGGGAAAAAAAAATGCCCTAGGTAATCACGACATTAGAGTTTTAAGAACTTTATGGTCCTAAGTAATAGAACCTTCTCACGGGGGATTAACTGGAACTAGGAAAACGCTTTTTACAATACCTGCTTCCTCATCGGTATCGTGCAGGCTTCAAGTCACATTCATTTGTAACAATTTCAGTAATTCTAGTTAAATAAAGTGCGAAATGTGCTTTAAAGACAGAAAGCACCATTGAAGTGCTAAGCGCTATTATTAAAACCTTACAGCTAAGGTTTCTGTTTCAGTGGAAACCTATTTATTGTTCCCTAGGCTATTAAAATAATATTATAATTCTGTTTTCTCTGGGATCTTACAGTGACCCCATCTAATGAAAGGCCAAAAAGAACACCCTTGTCCAAAAACTGAATTACATCATTAAGTGTAAAAATGTTTTCAAGATACTAAGCTATAGCGAGTCTGTTTCTTTTAAGAGCAGACGAGGCATTCTTTCTCAGACAGGAAGGTGCAAAAGAGCCAGGGAACACATCCACCCATAAATACGAAGCTTACAAGACCACAAAATTCAGACCCCGGCATGACATGCGAATCCATCCATTGTTGTAAAGTCTGCATTGCTGGAAAGAGCTTTTGCTAGGCCGGCCCTGTGTATAGCGGTGGGACGCCCATCTGTTTTACCAAGTTGTATCGTGAGGTGACCTAGTGCTTTAGGTTACGGTTGTGTTATTATCCCAACTTGCCGGCTTTGGCATGAAGCAAGTCACCTGAACCAGGCATTTTACACCCAGGACATTCTGGCCCTTTGCCCCTCTCTGGAGCTTAAAATTTCCACAACTTCCATCTCTCCCTGAGCCAAAAAAGAGGCCCCTTCCACTGGAAAACTCTAGAGTCTGGACTGTTCCAAGAATTATGCTAATGGATTGCTCACTCGCAAAGCATAAACCAGGCGCTTAAAATGGTAACAACCTATTAAAATAAATTACTAATTCATATGAAAAGGTCACGCATGGTGGCCTCCAAACCTGAAAGCCTTTTTTTTTTTTAATTTTTATTAAAATGTTTAAGGCCCAGGTAGGTCAAATGCTAGACTGAAAACTGTAGACGGTATCAGCTCACCACGCCAATTAAGTAAAAATCTCATCTTTCACTTTGTGTCGGGTGAAAACAGAAAGCTGAACAGACCACAAACGAGCTTGTGTTTCAGAGCTCTCAGTGGCCTTTGCTTACCTGTAAACCCTTGATTCCACCTGCTGTCATTTATTTACAAAGTAAATGCTTTATTTGTCCATCAGTGGTTGGTCATAATAAAATATAGCTGAAACCTACACTTAACACAATTTTTTTTTTTCAAGGATGGCCTGCCAGGTTAGAAGTTGAAATGACTGAAGCCAGACCTTGCTTTATTCATTCTAGGACAGTAGTCCCGATTGTGCCTTGCCTGGAATATATGTCAGTATATGACATGGGACAGCTTCACTCCTTTCAAAGTTCAGGTGTGATATTTATCTAAAAGGGGGGAGATGGTAACCCAACTCAGGGATTTCCAAATAAGGAGCCTTCATTATATTCATTGTAGTAATGTGTAGCGACTGGCATAAGTATCAAGGTTGTATTGGTTACTATTTTCCTTCTTGCTCTTAAATACGATGTATTTGCGCTTTGCCACATTAGAAGCAGGAAGGAAAGATGCTTTGGAACAAATGGAGCAGAAAATGTCTGGCCTATTCCTCCTCCTTATAAGTCTTCACCAATTTTTAAAAATGACAATCAGTTGATGAATCAAATTCAACCAACAGGTTTTTATTTAAGATATAAAGGTATAAAACTTGGGCCCCATCTTTAGGTAGTTTCTAATCTAGTTGGTGAATGATTGTGTCATGATCTTTGCAAACAGCCTTACTGTCGAATTTGCTTAGGAGAACATTCCCGTCTATAGGGTAAATATTTTTATTGGCTTTTGTTTAGACGAACGGTAGTTCCTTTGAGTTTTTGTCGAAACAAGGTGTATTTTTGTGTAAGAAGGAGAGACCATATCCAGAGTGTGATCAAGACCTGGCTTACTTGGATGTGAGGAGGAAAGGGCAAGCACAGCAACTTTTCTGCAGAGTTCGAGAGAGTCTGAGACCCGCAGTCAGGCGAGGTAGCAGATGTAGATCATGAGGGTCTGGCGTGAAGATTTCGCTTCCTGTTCTTAATTCCAAGTGTTCGCTGCTGGCTTTGAATTGCCCTCCGCTGTCTTTCAGGTCCATAAAGTGAGGCCTTGTAGAAGGGGGGTAGAGGTGTACTGGATGGGGCCAAGAACAGTAATAGCTGACATCTTCATCTGACACAACTTTTCTTACTTTGAGTTGAGCAAACTGAGGAGAAGCGGGGGATTGCAGCAGTCCCGTTGAATGGTTAACAGTGTCTATTTTCAAAGAAAACAACACTCTTTGGACAGTTTACTCAAGGCCTCTGACCAAACCGAACAATCACCCCACCCCCTAGGTATGTTAGCTGTGTTTCCATTTACAAGTAGGCTGCCTCTTCCTTTCTTTCTATCCCCCCAAACATCCAAAGTTTTACTGTTTCGAAGTGAAAGAAAGTTAAAGGCGGGAGAGAGTTCACGACTACTTTATGGATTGGGGTTGACCGGCAGGCAGCCGCGACCCACCAAAGGCAGTTGCCAAGTCTTAGACTGACGGCTGGGCTACTCTTGACTCACCGGGCCCAAGGTGGGCCGCACGGACCAAACTTTTATTGACTGAATGAATGAATTGTACCCAAGCAGACACGCGCAGGGCTCAACCAGGAGACTCAACCAAGGTCCCAGGAAAAGTGAGCCGCGGCCGAGTCGTTGAGAACTTGGTGTGACTGCTCTTCACCCACCACGCTGTACCGCATCCTCATATGGGACAGGGCTGGGGTGGGACACTTGAAAGTCTTTAAACAATTCTCAAACAAATTCGTGTTCAATAAACTACTTTTCCGTCTGTTCCAGAGCATCCCCCCGCGGCACCCCGGCCCGGCCTCGTATAACTGGGACGCCCTGGCCCGCCACCTGTCCCGCCCAGGAGGACTCCGGGGGCGCAGACCTCGCGGCCCCGGCCACCACCGCTCGGCTCTCGAGTCGCCGGCGCCTGCTTGCTCTTGCGATGCTCGTTTTTCGCGCTCACATAACACCTCTCATCGGACGACCCGCCGCCGGGCACGCGCCGCCGGGAGGGAGGGGTGGGTGGCGGTCTCCGCGCGCGCTAACCGGGAAGCTGGAGGTAAGGAGGCGCGCAGCAGGGGTAAGCGCCGCCGTCGCACACTTTGCACGCCGCCCAGGGCTACACCACTCACCGAAAATTGGGAGGCAGGTCTGGGAGGCGGGGTCCGGCGCCCACCGCCTTGGGCGCCCCCTCGGCCCCCGCCACCGCGTCCCCCGCGCCCCGCGCCCACTCCCGCGTGGCCCCCGCACCGGCCTGCACCTCCGGGGTGCGCGGCGGCCCGTTTGGGCGCGTCCCCGGCGGGCCGATTTTTCGGCTTCCCCTTCGGTTTATAGGGGCCGCCACGGTGGGTCCGTCCTCTGAAGAGGCTGGGGCGTCATCGGGCTGCTTAGGAGCGCTGCTCTCCGGCGGGGACACTCAGTCGCGTCGGCACCGCGGAGCGGGCTGCGTCAGGTGGCCGGCCCGGCGCGGCTCGCTCGCTGGCTCGCAGGCTCTCTGGCTCCGGGCTGCGGCGCCGCGGCTGGAGCGAACTCCTGTCCCAGCGCGGGGCGGCGGCGGGCGGCCGGCAGGCAGGCAGGCAGGCAGGCACTGCCTTGCGTGTGAGTGCACCTCACTCACATGTAAGTCCGGGGGCACCGTGGCCTCCCGCGGAAGTGCGAGTCGCCCGGCGCGGGGAAATAGCCACCGGGGCCGGGACGGGGCAGGGGCGCCCCAGCACTGCCGCCCTGCCCGCGCCTCCCGGGCACCCTCCAATTCTCTCTCTCTTCTCTTTTCTCTTCTCCATTGGCGTACCCAAGAGCCTAACCAAGGAGCGCCTGAGGGTAACAGCAACCTCGTGCCATCGCGCCTCTGCACTTTTCTTTTTTCAGTTGTTTGACGTTTCTTGTTGCTTTTTGATTTCTCGTGTTGTTGGGTGCTTTTTGGTTTGTTCTCGCCCCTTTTTCGTTTGCTCACCCTTTTTTGGCGCTAACTCTTAGGCAGCCAGCCCAGCAGCCCGAACGAAGCCCGGCAGCCGCGCTCCGCGGCCCCGGGGCAGCGCAGCGGGGATCGCAGCCGATTCCCCCGACACGGGGCGCACGGGGTCCGGCCAGCCCGAGGCCGGGGGCAAGCAGGGCGCCCGGGCCAGGCGAGAGCCAGGCACCCCGAGGTGGCCGAGCCACCATGCTGAAGATGGCCATGAAGATCAAAGCTTGGGCGGTGGAGAGCGAGAGGAAGACAGCGTTGGCTGCGGCCGAGGTGGCTGCCGAAGCTGCGGCGGTGGCTGCAGCGCTGGCCGAGCCGCGCGCACCGCGGAAGAAAGGGGACACCGAGAAGCCCCCCAAGAAGCCAGAGCAAGAGGCGTCCTCCGAGAAGTTGCTGACCGAAAAGGAGCGGCGGAAGATCGAGAGGAAGCTACTGGAGCAGAGAAGAAACGAGGAGAAGAAGAAGGAGAAGGAGAGGAAGAAGTTGGAGAAGATGCAGAAGAAGAAGAAGAAGAAGAAGGAGAAGAAGAAGAAGAAGAAGGTGCCAGAAGCCCAGGAGGAGGCCCGAGGCCTGGAGGTCGCCGCCGCTACCGCCGCCGGCGGCGCAGACGAGGGCGCCGCGGAGGGCGCCGACGGGGGCGGCGTGGGCGCCGGCGCCGGGGCCACGAGTAGGATCTGGATCGAGTGGGACACGGACTCGAGCGACGAGGACGACCTGTTCGACGCCTTGCGGGGCTTCAGGGGCGCCGTGTGGGGGTCCGGGCTGCTGAAGATCAGCGCGCTGAGCGCCCACCTGCCGCTCCTGACCTTCCCGGTTCTCTCCGTGCGCAGCCCCGCGTGGGTGCTCGATTTCCTGCTGCAGAAGCGCCCGGAGCAGGGCCGCGGCTGCGGCTTCTTTTTCGGGGCGATCTGCTGCTTCCGAATGTTCCTGGGCTGCGCCTTCTTCTCCTTCGTGGGCGGCCGGGCCAAGCGCAGAGGCCATGGGCGCCCCGGGACCTCGGGTGCCTTCGGCTCGGGCCATGGCGCCCAGCGCCAGGGGCGCGAGGAGCGGCTCATCTAGTCAGACCCCCGCCCCCTCCCCGCCACCAGACACCACCATCGTTGTGTAGTGTGGAGTTTTATTGAGTATTTGTGTGTGTGTGTTTGGACACATTTTCCTTTTCGGTTGCTCTGTCCTTTGGTTCGTGCTCGCCTCGCTTCTTCCACACTCCCTGCTCTCTAGCTCTCTCTGTCTCTCTCTTCTTTTCGAAAAATTTCCTAAGTCCGGGCTCTGGCTCGCGCTCCCTCCCCTTCCGCCCACCCCGGCCCCTCGGCGGCGCCCGCGGGAGGGGGGAGGGGGCTCGGCCTCGGGGGCCGCTGGGCGACGCGGCCCGGGGGGTGGAGCGTTGGCGTCGTGCGAGGGGTCGTCACCGGCTCGGAGACGCCCCCTCTCCCCCCGTGGCCGGCCCCGCTTGGGGCCCGAGCCAGGGGGGCGAGGGGGCGTCTCCCAGGCCCGTCCCGTCCCGGGCGCGGGCAGAGGGACCCCCTCCCCGGGTACCCGTGGGGGGGGGCGCCTCCCTCCACCAGCTCCCGCCCTCCCCGCCGCCGCGGCCGCTCCTCATCCCTCCTCCTCCTCCTCCTCCTTCCACCCCCCTCGCCGCCGCCGCCTCCTCCTCCCCCCGCCTCCCCCCGCCCGCCGCGGAGCTTTGGGTCGGGGCGGCGGCGGGGCCCCGGCCGAGGCAATAAGAGCGGCGGCGGCGGCAGCGGCGGCAGCAGCTCCCGCAGCTCCTGCTCTGGTCCGCCTCGGTCCGCGGCGGCCATCAGACCCCTCGGCTTCGGCTCGAGGGGCCGGGAGCCGCGCGCTCGGCTCGGTCAGACCGACACCACCCTCCCCGCGCGGTCCGCAGTCCGCCCCGCGCGCTCCTCCCCGAGGAGCCGAGCCCGCGCCCGGCCCGCCCGCCCGGCTGCCCCGGCCCTCTCCGCCCGCGTGAGGCCGCCCGCGCCCGGCCCCGCCGCCGCC